CAGCTTTCTGCTACACCTCCTTGAGTGAGTTAGAGACATTGTTGGTACTGGCTGGGACAGAAAACATCAGGGTAGCCTTTGATAGTGTTGGAATGCTGCATTGCCCAGATTTGTTTGCAGATGGGTTTTCTTCAGTAAAGCCCAAGCTGGATGTGAGATGCTCACTAGTGCAGAATTATATAGCCTATGGACAGCCACAGTTGTTTTCCTTCTTGTGACTAGTTTAGAGTTAACATTTTGAACCTCATAATGATGGATATTTTCTCAGTGAGAGTGAGAATACTCCTCACTCTCAGGTAGTGTCCATTGATGGGTATGCTTTCCCATGTAACCTTTGCAGGTCATTTGCATTGGCACCTAGGCTCTGAGAGAGACTACCCTTCAAAACTTAAAATTGGGTAGATTAGCAGCTGTTTTACAGGCCATGCAAACTCAAAGTGAGGCATTGCACTACCTGCTTCAGAGTCTACTTGTTCCAAGCAATGGCCTGCTTGATATGCCTGATGAAACGGTCCTAGTCCTCTTTCGCTGTTCTCGTAGAAGCCGGAGGTAAAATCTGCTTCAACTCTCTCTCACAAATGTTTGTGATCTGGGCAAACTCAAACTCATGGGTTATGTCAGGTCTAGAAAACGCATTATATACCCAAATGTCATTCATAGTTGTATTAACCAGTTTTTCTTTTGTTTCTTTTTTAATTAACTGGAAATTTGTCATTAACCTATAATGATATTATGTAAATAAGGAAAATTTACTTTTTATGGAATTTTAGTAAAGCTGTTTTAAACTGTTTTCGATATGCAGACATTGTTCATAGAGATTTGAAGATGGTAGAATATTCTTCTAAGCAAAAATCCAACAGATGACAGTGATGACGTTTACATTAAAGTAAGAAGAAATATTATAATATTTTCCTGATAATTTTATTATTAATTCCTAGAACAATAGCATTACTTATAACAACATAATTTTTAAGACTCGGTAATTTATGATAATTTAGTGGGAGTACAAACTTGTTTGCATAGTAATGCATTATTCCCAGAGTTTTTACTATATGCAACCCTGTTATTATTTTCTTAATTAGTCTCGTGCATATACCTTAGCAACACTATATTATCACATTTCAAAAAATATTATTAATTTTTCTTTAGGTAACAGACTTTAGTTTAGCTGTTGTAAAAGGTGGAGCTGGACAAGAAAACATGCTACAGGATTCCTGTGGGACTCCGGTATATATGGGTAACCCACATCATCTTGTTAGACAAAGTGTGAAAAAAACAGAATCTTTATTATCATTACATCTTTAAAAATGTATCCATAGTAATGTAAGGCTGAATTATTAAAGACAGTGTGAAAAAACAGAATCTTTATTATCATTACATCTTTAAAAATGTATCTATAGTAATGTAAAGCTGAATTATTAAAGACAAAGTGTGAAAAAAAAAGAATCTTTATTATCATTACATCTTTAAAAATGTATCCATAGTAATGTAAAGCTGAATTATTAAAGACAGTGTGAAAAAACAGAATCTTTATTATCATTACATCTTTTAAAAGTGTATTTATAGTAATGTAAAGCAGAATTATTAAAGACAGTGTGAAAAAAACAGAATCTTTATTATCATTACATCCTTTAAAAATGTATCTATAGTAATGTAAAGCAGAATTATTAAAGACAGTGTGAAAAAAACAGAATCTTTATTATCATTACATCTTTTAAAAATGTATCTATAGTAATGTAAAGCTGAATTATTAAAGACAGTGTGAAAAAAACAGAATCTTTATGATCATTACATCTTTTAAAAATGTATCTATAGTAATGTAAAGCTGAATTATTAAGGACAGTCAACAATTACGTTCTTATAATTTGTTTGAAGTTAAGCACAAAGCTATACAATGAGCTATCTGTGCTCTGGCCACCACGGGTATCGAAACCCGGTTTCTAGCGTTGTAGATCCGTAGATCCGGGGGGGCTGAAAGTAAGAGATAGTACGATACAGATCATCAAATGCTATATTTGTTTGTACTTATTTAAGTGATTATCTTTAGGATTTAGTTTCACATTTTAAAAATCTCTGGTATGAAAAACTTCAATTTTTATATACTTAATTTAAGCGGCAATAAATTATTTTTAATTGTTATTAATTGAATGGAGATCTGGTAAGTTTTAAGGCAACCTACCGGATAAACATTGGTTCTATGAGAACTTTTATAAATGTTTTAAAAACTTATAATTCAATTTTGATTTTATTTTTTTTTAGCTCCGGAACTCTGGGACAAGAAGTCTTACAGCCAGCAATGCGACGTTTGGTCAATGGGAATTATCATGTATTGGCTGTAGGCATCTAAGTGTTTTGAATTATTGAACATAGATAATCATTTTATGAGACCTAAAAGTTCTATCTATGTTGTTAAGGGAACATATTGTTAGGGTTACTCGACTTTCACAAATTTTTATAGCAACATCTGCATGTATTTATATGTATTTAACACATGCCGTATTATAGATATAAAGTACAAACATTAGGATCTTCTTTTGAACTACTATAGAAATATTAGGGACAAAATTAAAAAAATATGTTGGTATATCGGTAAGCTACTTTAAAGCACTGGGGGGGACTTGGGCAAAGTATAAACTAGAGGATCTCCTTGCTTTTAAGAAAATACCAGCCAATTTGATAAACTAAATTTATTAGTGATGAAAAAATAAGGAAATAAAAAAGGAAAAATATATTTAAAAACCGGTTTATTATTATTATTTTATGATACACTTTATATTTTATTAGTTATTATTATACTTGCATGCGCAATGGGCCCCTGACAGCGGTGAAACCTGGCCAACTATCCCTTTTGCCCATTGGATAAAACGGTCATAACCAATAGTGCCATGAAAGTCAATGTAAAAAACAAACAAAAAACCCTTTTTAAAGAAAATAATTAAAATTACTAATTAAATAACTAGTAGAACAACTTACTAGTTTTGAATACTGTATATGCATGTTTATGTAAACATAAACAATTCAATCTTATTAATATATATAAGCAAATATAATTTTTTTGTTATGACTCTTCTTCTTTAGGTTTAGTTTATCTTCTTTGATTGTTTTTTTGACATTTCTAATTGTTATTTTTTGTTTTATTTTTGCTTTAACCTTGACAGGTTATGTGGCTCACCACCGTTTATAGCGCCTCATACAGATGCTTTGTCAACCTTGATCAAACAAGCCAAGTTGAATTTTGGAAGTCCTTCCTGGAAAGATGTGTCAGAAAACGGTAAGAGATATAGATTTAGAACGCAGCTGTCAGTTACATTTATGTTAAAATTCAGCGTATAGCATAAACAACGCTTTGCGGTTGCAATTTTACTTTTCCCGAAAGGGGACCGAAGGCCGCCTGGAGATGTCAACTATTGTAATCTCTCGCACCACTATACAGTAGTGTGTTGTGTCAGTCAGTCAGTAGACACAAAATGGCGTCATATAAAGGACGCTTATCGTTGAAATTTGTACTGTCGTGACGTCAGGAAAACGTGTGCATGCCATGAATAACGAGAAGAATTATGCTCTCTGTAGGCGTGACATATGAAGTTGAAAAGCAAAAAAATAAAATATTTGTTACTCTTAATTTTGGCTTTATTTACTTTTCAAACAGAACACCGCATGGGGATGAATCTCCGAGATTTTCATAGGGTGAATAGAGAAATTTAGTTTCTGTTCATGGTACTTGTTTCTTAGATACGTGTACATTTAGTGCATCGTCGAAATGGAAACCTAGAAGTCCCTGTACGAAAATCATATTAGTTCTGCACACCCCTTAAAATACTCTGAAAAGTTGCAATATACTATATGTAAACAAATATTTTTAATAGCTATTTTGCACCATATAATATCAGGCAGACATAATTTCATTTGAATCTCTCAGTTTAATCATCGCATTGAACTGACTAAAGGTATGTAGGTGTGAATAAATAGCCACAACTTTCTGAACCATATTTAGTTGCCCCATCGTAAATAAAGTTATGAAGGATGCATCCTGGCCCAAACGTTGTTTTGCACCATGTCATTTGCCTTGTCAGTACGGTATAGAGAAAATGGACCTCTGGCAATTCAGTACATTTGGATTCGTTATAATTGTGCTAGAAATATTCGTTGTTAACCAAATAGTATATAGGATGACTCGGGGAATTAATGTTTATTGTGGTCCTCGAAGCCGCTCTGTCGACTCTCCTGTCGTGTCCGTTTCAACTGTCTCATCAGGAGTATTTTCATTTTGTATAAAATTCATGTAAAAATCATAGACTTAACATACATGTGACTAAAATAGAATTTCTGGTGACCTTAGCCCAGAGAAAGTTACAAAACTGTTTTGTTTTCTCAATTATTCAAAATACAAATATTATACAAAATGCATTAAGTTATGATCATGTTGAAAATAGTTATAACAGTACAATATTAATGTCTCATTATTAACGTTTTTTAAAACAATAGCAAAATAAACTTTATGCCAAAAGACATCTTTCACGTGAGATTGATTTTTCAAATGTCAGTCATTTTGTATCGAAAACATATAAACATGGTCATATCCTTTAGTCAGACGTTTATGATTTATAAACATGGCCATAGCCTATAGTCAGACGTTTACGATTTATAAAGTGGTCATATCCTATAGTCAGAGCCTATTAGTGGTTCACCAGTAAGCTTGATCGCTTATAACGCTAAAAATTAGGTTC